GCAAGCATATAGGCCTAACCAATGGACACAGACAACAGGGGGGTGAGGGCATGAGTGGGGGGTATAGGGGGTAACGTGGGGATAAGAACACATATGCAATAACTTAATCAATAAAAATTTTTTTAAAAAATCAATGGAAAAAAATATCCTCAGGTGAGGATTAACCAAAAAAAAAAGAAACATCAATGATGAGAGAGAATCATTGATAGGCTGCCTCCTGCACAACCCCCTACTGGGGATCGAGCCCACAACCCAGGCATATGCCCTGACCAGGAATCAAACTGTGACCTTCTGGTTCGTAGGTCGATGCTCAACCACTGAGCCATGATGGCTGGGCAGGCCTTCTTTTTTAAAATTCTAGTAAGGGAGAGTTTTAGTCCACAGTTGCTTGAACGTCTACCCAGAAGTTCTTCTTTCTTCTTCCTGAAGCCAAACCCACAGTCTTGTTTGGTCTAACTCAGGCCTGGGTGGCCCCACGCTTACTAGTGTTTGCTTTAGGAAGGGGCATGTAACCCAATGGGGTGGGGATAGGAAGAGGCATCTCATAAGGTTTCTGGAGGAAGTGCTCTGTTCTTAAAAGCGGACACAAAGTGCTCTCGCTGGTGCATGGCTCAGCTGGTTGGGCTTTGTCGAGTGCACTAAAAGGTCGCTGGTTTAATTACTAGTCAGGGCTCTCTAAAAATTAATGGAAAAAATATCCTCAGGTGAGGATTTTTTTTAAAGAGAGAGAAAAGAAATTCTGCCATATACAACTTAGATGGCTCGATCCCCAGTGGAGGACATGCGGAAGGCAGTGATCAATGTTTCACTCTCACATCCTGAGCTGCCTTATAAGACTTCATATTATGGGAAATGACAAATGCCCTTACTGCTTAAATGAATTTGAGTCAGAGTTACTCATTGTTGCAGCAGAAAGTTTGCCTGGTTAAGATGGTTATACGGTGAATCCCTGGTGAGTAAACTTTTGTAAGATCACTGAGTCACTCTAGTATTACAGGTATAGACCGATCTGATGGTCTAATCCAAGGAGGGCCCCTGACCTAAGTCATGACTACTTTTTGAATAGGCTTTGCACCAGAAATGGAGTGAGAGGCTTCTAGGTGACCTGGGGGGTTAAACAAAAACAGTATTCATTTTCAGAAGGAAAGATGTCCAGAGAAACCACTAAGATGATGGATAGGAAATGAAAACATGGAAACAGGGACCTGAATGGGAAAACACAATGGTTCATGCTTTTAAACAGTTTTTAAAGTTTCGCCGAAACCGGTTTGGCTCAGTGGATAGAGCGTCGGCCTGCGGACTGAAAGGTCCCAGGTTCGATTCCTCCAGTCCAGGGCATGTACCTGGGTTGCGGGCACATCCCCAGTGGGAGATGTGTAGGAGGCAGCTGATCGATGTTTCTAACTCTCTATCTCTCTCCCTTCCTCTCTGTAAAAAATCAATAAAATGTATTTTTTTAAAAAAAGTTTCAGTTTTGCCGAGGCCGGTTTGGCTCAGTGGATAGAGCGTCGGCCTGCGGACCGAGGGGTCCCAGGTTCGATTCCGGTCAGGGGCGTGTGCCTGGGTTGCCGGCACATCCCCGGAGGAGATGTGCAGGAGGCAGCTGATCGATGTTTCTAGCTCTCTATCTCTCTCCCTTCCTCTCTGTAAAGGATCAATAAAATATATTTAAAAAAAAAAAGTTTCAGTTTTATGTTAGGAAAGGGGGACTTGGAATTCAAGGGTTCTGTCCACTGTCTGTATCATTAAAAGGTGGTTTTAGCCCTAGGTAGTTTAGCTCAGTGGATAGAGGGTCAGCCTGCAGACTGAAGGGTCCCAGGTTTGATTCTGGTCAAGGGCAAAGTGGGCTCAATCCCCAGTAGGGGGCATGCAGGAGGCAGCCGATCAATGATTCTCTCTCAACATTGATGTTTCTAATGTTTCTATCTCTCCCTCCCTCTCCCTTCCTCTCTGAAATCAATAGGAATATATATTTTTTTAAAAAGATTTTACATGTATAGAAATTAGAGTACAATGAAGAGAATTATAAGATACTTTCTCCCTCAAGTAGAGATGGTGATCACAGGGGTTGATGCAAACACTCATAACATGTAGGCATTAAGTCTCGTTTGTTTTTAGGCAAAGATTCCTAGTTCTGGCTCTGTTACAGAATGACCATCCTACCTCCCATTATGGTACATAAGTTATATGGCATAAATGGTATGGTTATTGATTGAAAGTTATTTTTTAATTTGAATCAAACTATTACTATTACTTAAAAGGTAGGGTCTCTCGCCCTAGCCAGTTTTTCTCAATGGTTAGAGCACTGGCCTGAAGACCAAAGGGTTTGATTCCTAGTTAATGGCATATACGTTGGTTGCAAGCTCGATCCTTGGCCCTGGCTGGGGCATGTGCAGGAGGCAAACAATGGATGTGTTTCTCTCACATAGCTGTTTCTCTCTCTGTGTCTCTCCCACTTCTTCCACTCTCTCTAAAAATCAATGGAAAAATATCCTCGGGTGAGGATTAACCAAAAAGAAAGAAAAGAAAATGGAGCCCTGACCAGTTTGGCTCAGTGGCTAGAGCGTCGGCCTGTGGACTGAAGAGTCCCAGGTTCGATTCCAGTCAAGGGCATGTACCTTGGTTGCAGGCATATCCCCAGTAGGGGGTGTGCAGGAGGCAGCTGATTGATGTTTCTCTCTCATGGATGTTTCTAACTCTCTCTCCCTCTCCCTTCCTCTCTGAAATTAATAAAATACATTTTTTTAAAAAAAAATATTTATTTATTTATTTTTCCCATTTCAGAGAGGAAGGGAGAGGGAGAGAGAGATAGAAACATCAATGATGAGATCGAGCCCGCAACTGGGGTATGTGCCCTTGACCGGAATCGAACCCAGGACCCTTCAGTCCACAGGCCAACGCTCTATCCACTGAGCCAAACGAGGTAGGGGAAGGTCTACACACTTTTAGAGTATGGAGGTAAAAGCCCAGGAAGAGGCTGAATAATAATAATGGAAAAACACATAAATGATGCTCAATATGTGCCAGGCACTATTCTAAGCACGTTACATGTATTCGCTTGTTTAATAATACATGAAGCACAGATGGAATGATTAAGTAACTGGCCCAAGGTCACTCAGTTAGTCAATTGCCTGAGCCAGCATTTGAACCCAAGCAGTCCAGCTTCAAATTCTGTGCTACTCAAATTGTACCTGAGACTAACATATTATGAAAGTGTTTTGGGGATTGGTGAAAACGTGCTGATGTTGAGTCACAAAAGGCACTAGGCCTGGACCATTTAGTTTACCCTAGGAGGGGCATCACCTATCACCCTACAGTCTCTAGAATATGTTCAACTTGAGGGTATGCAAAGGGCCAAAATGAAATTCCACTGACAGAGGGATCTAAGTAAGAGTTTGTACTGCCTTTGAGGATGTGCTTTCTTGCCTGTCCGGTTCCTGGGGTGGTATTATCAATAATCGGGCATCAGTAGCCTGGAGGTTTTACTCGATAGTCATTCGTTCAACAAATATTTGAGCATCAACTCAAGGCCACGAATTGTGCTAGACCCAGAGTTGAACAAGATAGACAAGATCGCCCTGACCGGTTTGGCTCAGTGGATAGAGCGTTGGCCTGCGGACCGAGGGGTCCCGGGTTCGATTCCGGTCAAGGGCATGTACCTTGTTTGCCGGCATATCCCGGGTGGGGGGTGTGCAGGAGGCAGCTGATCGATGTTTCTAACTCTATCCCTCTCCCTTCCTCTCTGTAAAAAATCAATAAAATATATTTTTAAAAAAAAAGATAGACAAGATCCCCACTTTCTTAAAATGTACATTCTAGCCCAGCCGGGCGTAGCTCAGTGGTTGAGTGTCGACCTATGAACCAGGAGGTCACAGTTGATTCCCGGTCAGGGCACATGCCCGGATTTCGGGCTCAATCCCCAGTGGGGGACGTGCAGGAGACAGCCGATCAATGATTCTCTCTCATCACTGATGTTTCTATCCCTCTCTCTCCCTCTCTGAAATTAATAAAAATATAAACAAGGGGGGAATGAAAGAGTAACTCGGAGAAGCAAGCTGAACCCCAGCAGGCAAGGTCTTAAGGCCACGCCCAAGAGATGTCTGTATTTTATTTGCATTAATTCAGCGCCGATGATGACCACATTACCTCAGGCTGTACTTCCTAGACCACTTAATCCTGGTTCATCCGACCTTCACCACCCCACTTGTGCCTGTCGGGATGTCTGGCCACTCCGTGTCCCTTAGCCTACCAGGACACCTTGGGCCGGGGTCACCCAATCTTCATCTGTGGTCGCTTCAGCCCCCGCGGTCATCTCCTTCCCGAGCCCCTGCAGGCTATCCGGCCCCACCCCCTCGGCCGGCCGGGTCACCTCAGGGCCACGCCTCCTTGGCCGAAGATTCGGGCTCGCACGCTACGCTTTGTTCCCCAAGCAGGTTTCGAAACGCCGCTCCCTCTCGGCTCCAGCTGTTTCCCTGCCAGCGCTAGGAGACCCGGGAGTGGCAGCGCCCCCGGCGGCGTACCACGACCCAAGAAGGGAGTGCCCGCCGCCGCCAACGCCTCCGCCTCCTCCCGGAACGCG